AAATCTGCGCGTTTTGCAGCAGCAGCTCCAGCTCGAAGCTCCATGTATAGAAGTCTCTGCCGTTAAAGCACACACTTGTCTTTATTTTTTATATGCTCAAAAACCTTGATTTCGCATAGAGAATTGCCTCTTCGCTGTTGCTGCGTCTTGCTCTTGTCGGTCACTCTCCCACCCAACAGTCTTGTGGCACCACCGTCTCGGTCACCCGTCCATCCCTCGCCTCCGCAGCATGGCCAGCCAGCGTCTTGTCTCAGGTCTCCCTCGCGTCTTTGCGTTGCTCCCTCCCTCGCCTGCACCGCCGTGCACTCCTTGCGTCGCCGGTCGCCTGCGCGCCACTCCGCACTCCTCCACCCTTCGTCTGGGGTCCTGCCCCTACGCAGGGACCTGAGAGGGAGCGCTACTTTTTGGTGGTCGTCGACGACTACTCCAGGTACACCACGGTGTTTCCTCTCGCGAAGAAGTCTGAGGTGACTTCTACGTTGATCCAGTGGCTTCTGGCCACTGAGGGCACTCGTGGTCGTCGTGTCTCCTGTCTCCACTCCGACCGTGGGGGCGAGTTTTGCTCCGGCATTCTTCGCGGATTCTGCGGCGAACAGGGCATCTCACAGTCCTGGACGCTTCCGGAGTCCCCTCAGCAGAATGGGGTTGCTGAGCGCCGCATTGGCTTGGTCATGGGCATGGCACGCACGTCCATGATCCATGCCTGTGCGCCCCATTTTCTGTGGCCCTACGCGGTTCGCTACGCCGCCCACCAGCTGAACCTCGAGCCGCGTATCTCGCGGCCAGAGGCTTCACCGACCAGTCTTTGGACCGGGTCCCCTGGTGTTGGGTCGGCCTTTCGTGTCTGGGGCTGCCTTGCAGACAAGCTCTCGGCTCGCGCCATCCCCTGTGTCTTCCTTGGTTTCCCGGTGGGCTCTTCCGACTACGCCTTTTACCACCCGCCCCTCCACCAGTTCCTCGACTCTCGTGACGTCCGGTTTGACGAGTCAGTGTCCTACTACACCCAGTACCTCTGTCGAGGTCTCCCGGTTCCCCCTCCCCCCTTCTTCCTCGCACCCTCTCCTCCCCCTGCTCCCGCTCCTCTGGTACCCCCGCCCCCCCCTGGTCCTGCCCCGCCATGTGTGTCTCACACTACCCCTCTACCCTCGGTCGTGCGTCAGGTAGCGTCTCCCTCCCCGCAGTCCTCCTCACAGTCCCCTCAGCAGCCTTCGACAATTCCGCGGCAGGTTACTGTGGACTCAGGTGGTGTTGGAGCTGGAGGTGTTGCCACTGGCGGTACTCGGTCTAGGGGCGCTCGTTCGAGGGGTGCTGGAGCAGGAGGTACTAGCATTGGAGGTGCTAGTTCTGGGGGTGCTGGAGCTGGAGGTGCTGGCGTTGGTGGTGCTAGTTCTAGGGGTGCTGGAGCTGGAGGTGTTGGAGTTGGAGGTGCTGGAGTTGGAGGTGCTGGCACAGGAGGTGCTAGTTCTGGGGGTGCTGGAGCAAGGTGCTAGTTCAGGGGGTGCTGGAGCTAGAGGCACTGACACTGGTGGTGCTACCTTTGGAGACACTTGCACTGGGGGTGCTAGTTGTGAGGAGACTGGAGCTGGAGGCACTACTTCTGCAGTGCCCACTCCGCCTCACCATCGCCACGACACGCGTCTCCAGGCAGCCCGATGGCGTGAGCGTGAGGAGCAGGTGCACTTGGAGAGGGAGCGGCAGGAGCTGCGGCAGTTGGACCAGCTGGAGCAGCAGGAGCAGCAGCAGCAGCAGCTGCTGCTGTTGCTGCTCCCTTTGGAGCGGCAGTTGTTCCTGCCAGTGTGTGGCCTGCGGGCCCTTGGTCTTCCCTCCTCTTCTCCTGTCCGCTCTCAGTCTCCCCCTGCCTTTGGTCCTACGTTTCCTCCTCCTGACGACTCTCCTACGGTCTGGTCTTCTCCTCGGTCTACGTCTCCTCCTCTTATTGTCCCTCACTACCGTGTCCGTCCCTGTCCTCCGCGTGCTCGTCCCTCGTCCCCCGTTACCGGCCTCCGCACTGCCCTCCTTTGTTTTTCTCGTCGTCGTTCTCCACTCGTGTCTGTTCTCCCGTCTCCTCCTCCGTCCTCTCTTCCTGTTGCTCCTACCCCTATCACTGACTACTACTGTGCTGCTCGTCCTGTTGTCTCGTGTGTTCTCGCCTCTCTTGTCACCGACCCTCGTGCCTCTCCAACGTCTGTCTTGGCCCTTACTGCCGCTGTCGCTGAATTTTCTTCCACCCGCCGCCTCGAATACGCCACGCGTATGGTGGCTGCTCCACCTCCCCGTCCTCTGTCCGTCGGGGGTGAATTTGCACTAGGTTGTGACGTCCTAGAGGACAGGCAGTTTGAGCTGGAGTTCTTGGTAGCTGCTTCTCCCTCTCTCTGTGCCATGCTGCTTTCCCCTGAGGAAGACCTCGACGCCTTGGCATTCCGACTCCTTGCACGTACCGTGAGGCAGTGTCAGGGGAGTGGGCCTCTCAGTGGAAAGCGGCTATGGACTCAGAGTTAGCGTCTTCGAGATCCACAGGCACCTACGTCGACGCAGTTCCCCCTCCCAGGGCGAACGTTGTCGATGGCATGTGGCTCTTCAAGGTGAAGCGGCCGCCTGGCTCACCGCATGTGTTCAAGGCGTGCTATGTGGCTAGGGGTTTCAGTCTGCGTGAGGGAGTCGACTTCTTCCAGACCTTCGCCCCGACCCCGAAGATGACCACTCTTCGGGTGTTACTGCACGTAGCAGCACAGCGAGACTACGAGCTGCACTCCCTCGACTTCTCCACTGTGTTTCTCCAGGGCCGCCTACACGAGGAGATCTGGCTGTGGCGTCCTCCTGGCTTCACTGACACCTTCCCACCTGGGACCCAGTGGAGCCTGAGGCGACCAGTCTACGGTCTCCGCCAGTCGCCCCGTGAGTGGCACGACACTCTTCGCTCTATGCTTCGTGACCTTGGGTTTCGTCCTTCTTCTGCCGACTCGTCGCTGTTTGTTCGTGCTGGTTCCACTCCTTTCCTTATACTTGTCCACGTCGACGACTTGGTCTTTGCTACAGTAGACAGGGCACCTCTGGCTGAGGTGAAGTCCGAACTGCAGGAGAGACACACGTGCACTGACCTCGGTGAACTGCAGTTCTACCTTGGCCTACAGATCACTAGGGACAGAGCCGCTCGCACCATCACACTGACGCAGTCACACATGGTGCAGCAGGTCCTTTGGCGGTTCGAGTTTCAGTTCTCCACCACCCATCCCACTCCTCTTGCTGTTGACCACAGACTCACTGGCCCCTTTCGCGGCGAGCCCTTTGAGTCTAGTGGTCCCTACGTAGAGCTCGTGGGCTGCCTCATGTACCTGATGACTTGTATTCGGCCGGACCTCGTCTTTCCCCTCAGCGTCCTCTCTCGCTTTGTTGCGACTGGGAGACACCGTCCTATTCACTGGACAGCTGCTGTGAGGGTGGCAAAGTACCTGGCGACTCCATCAGGCATGGGGCTTGTGCTTGGAGGGACTCAGCCAGTTGAGTTGACCAGTCACTACGACTCTTCCTACGCTGACGACGTGGAGACTCAGCGTTCGACTTTGGGTTAATTCTTCAGCTTGGGTGCTCGTGCTGTGTCATGGAGGTCTACATGGTCGTCGTCTGTGGCTTCGTCCAGTGCAGAGGCAGAGTTCTACGCTGGTGCCATGGCGGCATAGGAGCTTCGCTGGTTGACCTTCTTGCTCGCCGACCTTGGTGAGCGGCCTCGCTCTGCACCGACCTTGTACGCTGACAACAAGGCCATGATCCTCCTGTGTCGAGAGCCTCGACTGGAGAGCAGAGTGAAGCACATTGACGTGAGGTACTTTCTCCTGCGAGAGCTGCAGCGACGCGCCCAGGCACGCTTGGATTTTGTGGCCTCAGAGGCCAACACTGTCGACGTCTTCACCAAGACTTTGGCGCCTGGTGACCACCACAGGTTCTAAGTGCAGCTAGGGCTTGTTGAGGTAGGTCCTCGGCTGTTGTAGCCTTGTTATTTGCTCTGCTTGTTTTGCTTTTCTATACATCCTAATGAACTCTTGAACCGGCCTTGTGACCTCTTGTTTGTGCTCGGAGTGTGTGGTGACTCTGAGCGCCACCCCGAGCCTTGTTTTGTTGTTTGCTCTTGACTGGTCTTGTGACCATCTGTGTTTCTTGCTCTCTCTTGCTGTCCCTCACTTAGCCTATGGGGGTGTGTCAAGTAACAAATATGCATGTTAGTCTATAGTGAGGCACACACTAGAGATGATACACAAAGTTTCTTGACATTCTGATTTGTACCTTGTTTCCTACTAGTCACAACATTCCGCTAGCCTACTCTTGAGACTAAACACCTTGCCGCATGGTGTTTAGGGTTGATGCCTCCCGAAGGGCATGCCATCCTTTAGGGGTTTATTTTTTTCTTCAGTCGTAAATGCCAGGCGAGAATTATGCGCGAGGTAACAAGGAATAAAAATTGGGATTCCCCAAATTTTCTACAGTTTCTTCACATTGGCTAAGTGAGTTTCAACTTTCCTTTAGGGTTTCATCGAGTGACCGTTCGTGATAGAAATGCGGGGCAACGAGTGACCATCCGTGATAGTGCTATGATCATCCGTGATAGATTTGCTAGATTCTATGACCGTTCGCGATAGTGCTACGACCATCCATGATAACGAGCCCATGTTTATGACCATTCGTATAATGACCCTAAATAGAATGTATTCATAATCCAAACTTGTATATTTGATTACAGGGAATTCAAAGCTTACTGCATAATAAAACATATGAATAGGCAGGATTTCACTTGAAGGAAATATTTTTCTTCACTTTCTCTTTAGCATCTGTAACCTTCACAAGTTATTGCATCCTTTCCAGTTTGCCATCCATACAGCTATTCACTTTCTTTTCACACGCTTTGCAGCTCTCCCCACTTGTTCACGAATCACGACGCTCGCATTAACATTATACTAACAATATCCAACCATATCATAGCACGGTAGCTATGCATAATTTTAGACTTGTTAAGACGATGCAGTGTCCTGTAGCTCCTCAAGGTCCTCTTCATCCACAGACCCCTCCATCGGGTTGCCTGACACAGTGCCGTTGCCAGACCCTGCAGCAGATTGCCACTGCCCATCATGCAATCCTGGCAACACATCTCCTGTCACAACCAAGCCCTGCACTCTCCTTTCCCGCATCTCCTGCCTCTTCTGCTTCTCCTGCTTCTCGTGCTGTGAGCAACATGAGCCCATGGAAGGACTATTCAGTACACAGGTCTTTCCAGACAAAGACGCCGAGCACACCGTGCACGTGTCACTCTGCTCCTGCTCCTGCGGCTGTGCATGAGCCTCTGGAGGCAGCAGCGCTTCCTTGCCTTGAAGGCTTGGAGAAACCGAGTGGTTGCAAGAGGAGCAGACAGCAGAGGTGGCAGGTGCGGGGACAACACGCCGGTGGAGTTGCCGGGCAGGTGAGATGGAATTTAGAAGACCGGCAAAGGATGGAACATTGTAGGGGCTTGAAGGGTGGTTCAAGGGCTGACGGACGACCGCACAACCATGAGAAACCGGCACATGGGTAAACGGGATGTGTTTGTTCATGGAGGGTGCGGTGTCGCCAGTAACCGCCTCTGGGCCGAAGCTGAAAGGGAAGACAGCGGCGTGCTTAAGGCCCTGAATGGCCGCCTCAGGCTGCCACGTGGCACAGCCAGCCTTCTGTGCAGTTGTCTCAGAACCCCAGCAGTGAGAAGAGGGGCTTTGAGACGCCCCGTCACTGCACCAAGGGATGCACTCCTCATCATTCAAGTTGCTGGCGGATCCATTGCTGGCAGCGCTGGCTGCGCTGGTCCTGCTGGATGTGCTGGTAGTGCTGGTAGGTAGCAGGGTCGCTTCCTCAGTTACACGGGGCTTCACAGGTGCCTTATCATGGTGGTGAAGATGACAGTGTTGATAATGGCGATTGAGGAGAGTGATGGGGCTGCACAGATCCTTGGGACCAACGGAGTCATCAGCAGCTCCTGCTGCAGAGGCATTCTTAAAAACCATCCAATGCACTGTTGCAGGAGTTGCAGCAGTAGGAGCAATAGGAACGGCAGCATTGACAGCGGTAGGAACGGCAGCATTGACAGCGGTAGGAACGGCAGCATTGACAGCGGTAGGAACGGCAGCATTGACAGCGGTAGGAACGGCAGCATTGACAGCGGTAGGAACGGCAGCATTGACAGCGGTAGGAACGGCAGTGGCAACAGCAACGTCATCAGCAGCACGCCAGTAGGCAGTTAAGTGCGGAGGGATCGAGCTGTGCTCTGTGTTCCACGCAAAGCAACGTTTCTTCGCCACGCCATGCCACAGAAGGCTAGCCGGCCGCTTCTGCCCCTGCTGCTGCTTCTGCAGGAGCTGCTGCTGCTGCTCCTGGTGTTGCCTCGCCTCATGTGTGTAGAGGTCCTCCCAGTGCCGCTGCTGCTGGCAGTTTGGGCTGACATTGACGCTCGGGTGGCCTGGGAACACCGCTTGGGGCAGGCAGTGGGACTCCGCGAGAGGGACCATTCGCTGAATCTGGTCACTTGCACGCAGCAACGGACCAGTGCTCATGTGGTGGGGCTGGGGGGATTAGCGACCGCCATAGCTGGCTGGATGGGAGGATTACACGGTTACACGCAGCCTTGAGAAGCTTCACGTTGAATTAGGAGATGATGCAGGGATGGCGTGCGCTCTAGTAAAAATCTGGGAGAGATCTTGAGATGTCGCAGACGTTGAAACAGGAGATGGTGCAGGGATGTCGGACACTCTGGTAAAAAAATGGGAGAAGCACCAGACGAACGAGCAGACGCAAGCTGGAAACGAGAGACTGAAAAGGAGACGTTGGTGGGAGAGAGGCTACGAGTTCTAAGCGCGGGCCGGAGGGGATCGGAGGCTGGGAGATTGAAGCAATGAAGGCCACGGTATTGCGACTGCACTGGAGACATGTTTATATACCGAGAGTGGGGCTATCAGTCACACTACACGAGTAGCAGAAGCTTTGCACGTTGCAAAAGCGGGGCGGGGGAGTAAGAGCGCAAGGCGCAACTTGGAGTTGCGGGGCGGTGGCGGGCGGACGCTAGTGCTAGGGCGGGCGCAGGAGGGAGTGGGGAGGGAGCTAGGGGGAGGGGGTAAGAGGAGGGGGGAGAAGGGAGACGGGACGGGGAAGGGGGAGAAGAGGAGAGAAGAGGAGGGGGGGAGTATGGGGGGGGTGGGGGAGGGGAGCGAGGGAGGGGGGGGGGGGGAACATAGAGATCTAGAGGCCGAGTGGGAGCGAGCGGGATCTGTGCTAGCAGACGAGAATGGGGGGTGGCGCAGATTGATATCGGAGTGGGGGGGCGGCCAGAACGGGGCGATCGGTCACTGAGTGATTAGTTCACTGATTCGGGAATCCGGTCACCCGTACAGCTTTCCCAATCTGCTCTTCCGGATTCCCGAATAGAAGCTCCCGCAAACACGCGTTTTCGGGATAAGAAAGACCGGGGAGGGCTTGGGATTGGAGGTCGCGGAGAAGGAAGGGCCAGCCTGGCAGAGCTCCGCCAATCGGCACTGAGTACTCGAGATCCTCAGAGCTTCGCAGCACATCCTCGGAAATCATTGCGAGTTGCTGGCAGAGCTTCGCAACTCGCGTAGGGTTCTATGGTGGGAAAATAAAGCCGTGACAGCACGACGGCAGGGTGCAGCGGGCGGATATCGGCGCGATCTATATCGGATTCGCAACAGCATGCGAGTTGGAGCCGCCATGTTGCATGCGGTGGCAGCATGTGGCAGCAACTCGCAGATTGCTCAACAGCAACGCGTGCACTTTCGAGTAAGTTAGGAAACAAAATTGAGGACGCGGAGTTTCGTACTGTACCGAGTGGGGGAATGACATACCGTAGCTGTTTCTTAGCTCTGGACAAGTGGCCAAAGTACCCCTTTTCAGAATCCTCTAATGTGCACAAGACTTGTTGTCGCACAGCAGTGAAACACTAATGGCGGTTAGTGACGGTAATATGATTGGCCACTCACCGCATCAGAACCGCGATTGGCTCATTCCGCCGTTTCGCGCGTCCTCTCGGCTCGCAGCACGGGCGATTGCGGAATCAGAGCCTCGCAATGCTGCCAGCAATGCAGACATGATACCTCCTTCCCAATTCCCTATCCTGCCGAACCTGCCGGGACATCAAGTACCGTCAGCCAGCCCGTAGCACGGCATTGTCGAATCCTCCATGATGCCTGACATGATAGAGGCATCTACAAGCATCAAGCCGATATTTTATTAACGCAACGAGACAAACGATGCTGCCGTGAACCGCAGTAACTTCGACATCATGACCCCTGACTCGAAATCAGTTACTGTATCACTCCGTTAATGAGTCAAATGAGGTCGGAATCAATCGGTACCGTTAGTACAGTGTGCGTCTCGCCAGCTGTCACGAAACTACTGTAGTCCCGCACGAGCGGACGGAAGTGAGGACAGTATTATCTCGTCCCGGAATGGAAAAAGACGCGTTTTCTAACCTGCTGTCCATAACAAAGTAACCGTCTTCGGTCGCTATTCAATATTGGTTGCTCGCGAAACCATGCGTCGCACAAAATAACCGTCTTCGCCTCCGCGCGTTCTAGGAGAGTGTTAATAGCGACGACGAGCTGCGACGAGATGGTACGAGACCGAATCTAGGCGAGACAAAGGCGAGACAGAGTTCGGCCGAGACGAGAATGCGAGGAAAAAGGTGGAGAGATGGCAAATAGAAGCAAAGCGGTTGGAGATTGGATTGAAAACTGAAAGTTGCTGCTAGGAAGAAGGAAGCGTTGGAGGCGAAGGCAGGGGGAGACGAATCGCCAGCCACGGGAAGGGGTCGGGGTTCGGAACGGGAGCAGTCGGCCTACGCCTCGGGAATAGCCCGAACCTCCGCTGCCAGAACTGTGTAGGCTGGCTCGCAACTGCGCGTTACTGTTTGAATCTTTCGCTTCAAAGTGTAATGTTTTGATCCCTTAGTGCAAACCTCGCTTCTCCATTCGTTCAACTGCACTCTTAACAAGAAGATAGTGGAAATTGTCTCAACTCCTCCTATATATTAAGGATCAACAACTGTTTATTTAGTTATATTTTGGAAAGGCTCATCACTAGAATGTCCCTCTTACCGTAAAAGAGGTTCTTACAAGCTGCTCTGCACTTTTGGGCATGTTTGAATCCTCATCGCCCTTACGGTATGTTCACAGGCATCTTCGCAAAGATATGCCCATCTACGGCAAGAGAATACCAACCACAATAACTCCTTTATGCATTGGATTCAAGATGGGCCACTATTACCACTAGAGTGTAAGTGAAATGGTATAAAATGATTCTGGGCTCGATTATTATATGAAAGTCCTCTAGCTTGCATAGCGTACACTGTGGCAGTGCTCTCTCAATGCTCTCCTGGTGATACCGGTGGTAGTCACTTGCCTAATCAGGCGTCTGTATGATAATGAAAACAGTGGGGCTCCATTAGTGACTTGTACTCAAATGGACGTAATTGCCAAACTGCGTGCTATACTGTACTGAACCATCATGCACACTCAACTCATAAAAAAAGGCAAAACTAGCAAAATTGTATGCCAGGATCAGGATGCCTTCACGAGGACGCAGTATCCTGTAGTTCCTCGTCATCATCAGCACATTGACAAGTCTCAGTTCTGCCATGGCCTGGCACGTTTCCTCGTGTAATAGAGCAATTCTCTGACATTGAGCGAGCCCCTCCCTCTGCAGCAGGTCCTCCTCGTGCACCACAAAAGCCTGGTGGGGGTGCAAGCGCATTCTCCTGAATGTGAGAGCTCTTGGAAGGGCTATAAATATGCAGCACACAGGTTTCTGTGGATCGAGACAAGGAACAACCAGCACCTTCAGCACAAGTCTGCAACTGCTGCTGCTTGTGCACCGGGGCTTTAGAATCCGGTTTCTCCTTGCCTACTGTAGTACATGGTGAGTTATGCCTGTTGTCATGGCTCCTGTGTTTGGGACCGCAGACAGAAGAGGCGGCATGGGCAGAGGCAACCCGACGGTGGAGTTTCCGGGCAGGCGAGATTGAATTCAGAAGACCGGCGAAGGATGGGGCATGGTAGGCGCTGTGTGTGGGCTGAGTGAATGAGAGAGGGAAGAGCGAAGGGACCAGGGCCGGGACGAGGGCAGGGATTGTGACAGGTGAAATGGCAGGAGAGACGGTCGGGGAGACGGCAGGCAAGATGGCAGGCGAGACAGCTCGTGAGACGGTCGGTGAGGAGGCCGGCAAAGCGGTGGGTAAAACAGCAGAGGAGAATGGTGGCGAGACGGCAGAGAAGAAGGCACATTCCTTGCCACCGGGAACATCACCAGACACACCACCGTGACGAGCCTCTGCTAGCTGATTCACAGAAGTCAGCAAACAACCGTTGCTCCTTGTGGGGGTCTCGCCCGTGTGCACCACCGGGCCGACGCAGCCTGGAAAGACAGCAGCGTGCAGCATGATGTGACAGGCAGCTGGGCCTTTGAGTCTGCCATCGCCGCCATCACCACCTGCTGTACGTCCCGGCGTGGAGGGATTGAGCAGATTCGTGGAATCGCGCAGAATCGTGGCAGTGGCAGGTCCTTCTTGCTGGTGCTCGCGTGTCCATCCACAGCATCGTTTCTTTGCTGCTGCGCCCTGATGCCACAAGAGGCTGCCCGGCCGCTTCTGCTGCTGCACAACCGGCACGCTCTGGCAATTGTGCTGCTTCTGCTGCCGCTCAGCCGGCAAGCTCTGGCGGTTGTGATGCATCTGCTGGCAGAGCACGTGGCGTTCATGCCCGTGACTCCTCGCTGGGTGAACCATGTGGATGGCGCAGTGCTGCTGAATATGGTGACACTCCTCCTCCTGCTGCTGCTGCTGCTCAGCACCTTTCTGGATCTGCTGCTGAGCGCCTGGCTGATGCTGCTGCTGCAGCTGTGGCTGGCAGCGCTGGCCAAAGCTCAGGTTCGGGAAAACCGCGTGGGCTTGCTGGCGACCGTAGAGCTGCTCTTGGGGCGAAATTCGCCCGCGCTTGGCACCTAGGAGGCACCGAGTTTCTACGTGGCAGCTTGGGGATCCAGCTACAGCCATGGCTGCATGCAATGCGCTGGCAGGCGCCGTGGGTACACGAGCGGAGCTGAGTTGATTCAGTAATAATAACGAAAAACCGTCTATAGATTAGACGTCTATCAAGCTGGTGGGCCGAGTCGAATGTGCAAATGAAGGAAGCAAGAGCTCAGATCGAAGGAATGGGTTGCATGAGCTGAATCGGGCGAGGCAGGAGGTCGAACAGGAAAGCACTGAAGAGTATGATGCTAATTCAGGAAGTTCTGGCCCCTTTTATATCCAGCCAGAGGCCAGTTGATGCTTTCGACTAGCCTGTGCCATTTCCCCTGACCTTCTGTGCCATGTTCCCTGTCTCTGTGCCATTTCCCCTGTCTCTGTGCCATGTCAGCTGTGCTCCTGTGCCTCAAAAAGCGAGGTTTCTGGAAGCAACAGCCAGAATCGCGGGAAGATCGCCGCCTCTCGTTCTATTCCTGCACGCGCCCCCCAAGTGGTTGGGTCGAAGGGGGAGTTGGGGGAGTGGGGGGAATGGGAGGGCAGGAGGGGGGAGGAGAAGAGCTGGAGACGGAGGGGCGAGAGCGGGGTGGAAGGTTGCGACAGATGGCGCGGCTCGTAGGGGAACGAGGTCTCCAGGGAGGAGGGGGAAGCGGAAGCGCCGGAAAGGGGACAGATGGGGGGGGAGCTCTGCTAAAAGACAGAAACGGGGAACATGGATTCACAGTCAGTGGGGGATGAGCAGAAGGCGGAATGCGGAATGCACATTTTGATTGTCACACCATACAGGATCATACTACTGTACTATGGTACTACTGTAGGCACCCCTTTTCCCAGTCAGCTCCTCGAAACGAGGCTTCCACGGAGAAGGGGGTACGGAATGTTCAGGGGAAGCAGGATGGCAGAGGAGGTCCGAGTGGATGGAGGAGGCCCCTTATCCGAGAGTGGAGGAGACTTGTCGAGATACCTATCATCAAGTACAGTGCGGCTCCTCCTCACAGGTGCCGTGACGTGATTTCTAGAACTGTGAGGCGAAACCGAACCGAAACCTCGCGACGGCAGGCTGCAGCGGGGCGGACGCTGGCGAAATCTAGATCGGATCCGTTGCTGACATGCGTACCACGTCAGGATGACGCCGCGGCAAGGTGCTGCTAAGGTGGCGAGGCAGCATGTGCGCTGAAGTGTCCGGTACGGACGGACATCATGCAGCATGTGCATGAACTAACTTCCTACGTTAACTCAACACTGATTCAGTTTCTACTATTGACGATAACAAAGGAGGCGCTGCTGACGTGGCAAGGCAGCACTTTCTCTGGAAGGACCGCAACGGACACGAATCATGGCAATGTGTGACTGGAATCACACGCGATCAAAGTGGATAAGAAAGCGGTTTTTTTACACGTGGGTGCCTTTCGTCCACCATGTCTGCTTCACTTGTGAAGTACGTACCGCGCAGTACCGTTCCAAACCGAGCCGCACGTTGACGTGTTGTTGGACAAACTAAGTTGCTATGTACGGTTGACATGGTCATTGGTGGTGCAGATGCGACTCGCCAGATCCTGTCACTCTCGGCCGAAGCACCATGTCTCCTCCAACCAGGACTATTAAGCAGACAGTTGGTGCTACCATCCGTATAACTAGGTACAGTACTTCTGTGGACGTATGTGGCGGTTCTATACTGTAGGACGTGTCGTGGCTTGATGGCCATGATGAGGACAAACGAATCGGCCACATAGGATGGCCTTAATTCTCAGCCACGACACGCGCGCAAGCTAACGTCGGTGCATTCAAGCAGTTTCGTGGTTTCGTGGTGCGAAATAAATGAGAAAACTAAATGCGAGCGGCTTGAGAAGGCACATGCGTTTTCTACCACGAGTGAGAAGATAATCAACTGTCAGTTCTGTAGAGCTGAGAAACAGCTTGGAAGCCTGGATCGACGCGGAGGACAAAGGCTGTTCCCTCACGCGCACTATCATAAGTGACAGACACGTCCTTATCCATGTCCAAACATTCGTTACTAATCCGAAAGACAAAATGAGCATGTGATACGACCCGTCATAACGCCCTCGTGTGAACACGAGGGCGTTGGTGGCGCCTCGCGACGGACGGGAACAGCGGGGGCCTGCGGGTCTGGCTGGGCCGAATTGGGTCTGATCAGTCAACGGTTTTGGGCTGCTCTGATGATCTAAGATGGATGAACAAAGCGGGACTCTGGGAGGAAGGTGTGTGATGGGATCATGGGAGGGAAGGCAGAGAGTCAGCGACAATGAATCGAGCGGGCAAAAGTTGACAGTTTTCGGACACTCATGTGTGGATTCCGAATCTCCGGCTTCCCCACACAAATCGCCTGTCTGAGTGGGGGAAATCAGCGCCTCGGAGATGCAACCGTTTGTGTCCTCAACATCACCGGACTGGTTTACAAGATATAGACGCAACACCATTCACACTGGTATTAGCCTAGTGCTTAAAACAATGTGGTGGATGTATGCATCTTCTGGCAATGCAGCTTGCTCCCAGCTTCCATTTCTGAAGCACGTGTGCGCCCTAAATCAGCACGAGGTGCCGAAGCTACGGAATGATGCTTTGGGACCTTGTGTTATCTTAGCTTGGGACCTGCCAAGCCAATGTTAGTTGATGCTTGGCATTCCGAACACATATGTGCTGTGTTGGGCTGAGAAATTATATGGTAAATGACTAAGGATCGAAACACTCTTTGATTGGTATAGACTTGTATGCGTAGCAGAAGTTTGTAATGGAATGTTTGAAAAATATTAATAAAAACAAGCAGTACAACGATTTTATAGCTAGGCTGAAGTACCTAAAGGCTAATGCATCTGTTCAATGATGTAAACGGATTGTGTCACAAGTAGGAACGTAAGAATGAATAGAATGATGGGCAGTACAGGATTGTATAGCTAACCCTAACCCTAAAGTGTTGTACCCTTTAGGGTATGCCCCACTACATCCTACAAAACAAATACAAATTGACACACCCCCCATAGGCAAAGTGGGGAATAGCAAACACAACGGACGGTCACAAGACCAGTCAAGCAAGAGAACAAAGAAAAAGAAAGCTCAGGGTGGATCTCAATATCACCACGCATTCTGAGCACAAGCAAGCGGCCACAAGGCCAGTTCACATGCAGAGTTATAAAAGCACAAGCAGTACAGTGATCACAACCTAGCAAGAACAAGCATGCATGTATACATATATAGAGATCACAATACAAGACAAGTCAAGCAACCAGCAGGTGAGGAAAAGTAGGCACAAGGCCTAGAGCAGTGCAGAAACGCTGATGATCACCAGCAGTGTTGGCCCGAGAGGCCACGCAAGCAAGGCGCAGCTGACCACGCTGCTGCAGCTTCCGAACAAGAAAGTAACGAAGAGCAATATGCTTCGTTCTGTGCTCCAGTCTCTGCCCCTGACACAAGGCAACCATGGCCTTGTTGTCAACGTACAGGACTGGAGGAGAACGAGGCCACTCACCCAAGTCGGTCAGCAGGTAGGTCAGCCAGTGTAACTCCTGTGCAGCCATGGCCACAGCGTAGATCTCGGCCTCACAGCTGGAACCAAGCACAGAAGACAAACGAGTGGACCTCCACGAGACATAACCAGAGCCGAGACTGAAAGAGTAACCCTGGGACAACCGCTGAGTCGCCTGGTCGTCAGCCCAAGAAGCGTCGGAGTGTCCTGTGAGTACCACTGGACCCCGCCCTCCAAGCACAAGCCCCATGCCCGATGTACTGCACAAGTAACACAGTACCCTCTGCGCAGCTGTCCAGTGCTCCTTCCTGTGTCGCCCGAGGGCGACGAAGCGAGCAAGGATGCTGAGAGGGTACGCGAGGTCAGGTCGTGTGCACGTCATCAGGTACATGAGGCAGCCCACAAGCTCTGGATACGGGCCACTCGGTTCTACGAACTCGTCCAAAGGTGGAGCTGAGAGCGAGTGGCCGGTAGCCAGAGGAGTGGGCTGTGGCGAGGAGAACCGAAAACGGAAGCGCTGAAGGACCTGGTGCACCATGTGTGACTGAGTCAGGGTGATGGTGCGCCGTGCTCTGTCCCGGGTGATCTGCAAGCCAAGATAGCTGCGCAGTTCACCCAGGTCAGTGCACGTGTGTCTCTTCTGCAGCTCCGACTTCAGAAAGGCCAGTGCCTCAGTGTCAGCAGTGGCAAAGACGAGGTCGTCGACGTACACGAGGACATAGAACGGCGGCAGCGAGATGTCGGTGCGTAGAAACAGCGACGGGTCAGCAGTAGCAGGAGCAAACCCAAGAGCCGCAAGTGTAGTCCTCAGTGTGTCGTGCCACTCGCGAGGCACCTGGCGGAGACCGTAGACTGGCCGCCGGAGGCTCCACTGAGTACCTGCAGGAAACGACTCAGTGAAGCCAGGTGGGCGGCGCAGCTAGATCTCCTCGTGCAGGCTGCCCTGCAGGAAAGCTGTGCTGAAGTCCAGAGAGTGCAACTCGTAGTCACGCTGAGCAGCGACGTGCAGCAACACCCGAAGAGTAGTCATCTTCGTGGTGGGGGAGAAGGTCTGGAAGTAGTCAACTCCCTGTCGCTGATTGAAGCCTCGAGCAACGTAACGCGCCTTGAAGACAGGCGGAGAACCCGGCGGCCGCTTCACCCTGAAAATCCACATGCCATCGACTATGTTCGCCCCAGGAGGGGGAACGTCGTCGACATAGGAGCCTGTGGACTTCCACGAAACCATCTCTGCGTCCATGGCTGTCAGCCACTGAGAGGAGTACTCACCCGTGATCGCCTC